AGATTGCCGGCGGCGACGACAGCGAGGCTAGAAGAATCACTGTTAAACAGGTGCTGTCATTTCTTCTCATTTTTCCTTTCTTCTCGTTTCCATTGTCTTCACCATTTCAGATGACAAAATTTGCCTGGGACAATTACAGAAAGTACGCTTGGGGTCAGAATGAATTGCGGCCTGTCTCGAAAAGAGGTAATATGGGATTCCGTACACTTTTGATTTTCTTGTTTTTATCGCTTGAAGTCTGTAGTCTTTTGACTTTGGTCTTCTTAGTGTTCTTACTATATAGACGTTTTCATTATCTTTGAAAATAGGGTTTCAAATGCGAGGAATCCTAGGTTTTGCAAGCTCAAATAGAATTTATCAATAGCAAAAATGTTCCTATCTACACGAGCACTTTCAGGTCACTCCGCGTCCGTGTTTGGAATGGGCGACATTGGAGCCACAATTGTAGATGCGATTGACACACTATGGATAATGGGTCTCAAAGAAGAGTACGAACAGGCTCGAAGTTGGATCCTCAACACTCTAAACTTCTCTCAAGCAGCGGTAGGTTCACTGCCTGAATATTATGTTTTTTTCCTTGCCTTGTTGTTTTTAGAGAGGTGATATATCTGTCTTCGAGACGAATATACGATTTATTGGTGGGCTTCTGTCGATATATGCGCTGACAAACGATAAAGTAGGTGCATCGGTCAAAGTTTTTTGAATTTATTCGGATTTACTTCTTCAAGGCTTACATAGAGAAGGCTGAAGCAATTGGGAAGTTGTTGCTGCCTGCTTTCGAGACTCCTACGGGTATTCCTTATGCACTTGTTAATCCAAAGACAGGTGGGTATCCCATTTCTACTTGCATTCACTTAATACACAACAATTTCTTGAAGGCTCAGCGAAGAATTATGGCTGGGCAAACGGTGGTTGCTCAATCCTTTCTGAGTTCGGTTCACTTCAGCTTGAATTTGACTACCTTACAAACGTTACAGGAAATAAGGTTTTCTCAGAGAAGGTTGGCTCATTTGCTCGTCTACTTAAAGGCAGTTGACAGGAAAAATGGATTCTTCTTAGATTTTGGTGGAGTTAAGTAGTAGACCCCCAAGTACAGGGTAGCTCAAACCCCACCTGCCATTTCATGCGCCAAGTCCTGAAAAATGCGCTTCAAAATTCCA